ATATACCCTTGTTTCAGCCTTTTGTCCTATGGAAACGGTGGTTATAGCGGTTTTATGTGTGAATCATTAGGATAGACAGCGGAATATACTTTAATAACTGTTTTATGCATTTGTATTTTATTATATTTAGAAATGTTTTTGATTTATATCTGTAGATTTTCTTAATCTTTTTTTTATTTAACGTATTGCGGAAAGACATAATTATCGAAATGCAGGTTTCTTGAAAAAATAGAAATGGTGGTTAGGAGGTCGTCTACTTCCACTTACCTGAGGTCCAACTTACCATTCTGGAGTTAAACTAGTATAGTCTGCGGCGCGAAGCGCCGTGCACATATTCAATTTACATGCGGAACAATTTACTTCCAGCGGCTGTGGAAACAAATTCAACTAAATATTTTTCCCTTTACAGTTTTACAGATTTCCTTCACCGCCTATCCCATTTCCCCACCCCCCAAACCCCTATAATCACCGTTTCCTTAGGAAAAATGTTGGGACTAGGGGGTATGTGAGGTGCAGTACTCAAACTACCTTTGCCCACAGCCCGCAACGCGTGAAGGTAACAGTCGGAGGGGTCACTGTGCTGGCCGCGGAACTAGGATTGAAGCAGCTCATGATTTTTGCGATTGTCATCTCCCACGCGAATCTCGGTCTCGTCGAGTTTAAAGTTGGCTGGTTGTGGACAAGCGGTTTGACGTTATTCTTTCTCATCACTGATGCGTTTTCAGGATTCTCCTGAGTATTTACCCTGTCCGGAATTGCGTTCAATCTAGTAGGAACGACCTAGACGTCTCTTGACTTGGCACCGAATAGTTGACCCTAACACTTGGCAGCTAACGGTTACCTCGGATTTTAGCTAAGCTTCAAATCCAAGTGGCGTGAGAAGGCGGCTGACGGCTTCCGAAATGTGTTTGCCGTCGAGAAAAAGTTTGGGTCCGGTGCGGTTCAGTCTCCCTTGCCATCTTTGTGTTCGTGGATAGAGTTGCACAGTGGCCTGAGCGACCGTCAACATTTTGTAATTCAACAATCTTGTTTCCCGAGTTCGCTGCGAAGAGTCCCCTCAAACGTCACCCCTTCACAACTGCGGCTCCGGACCGTGGCATAATTACGAAAAAGACTGTTTGCGCAGTGCCAGTGGAACTACAGCAGATGGGTTAACTTATAATACCAGAATGGTTGAAAAATATTTTTTCGGAGGTTTTATAAATATAAGCCGTAATCTCGCCTTAAGCTACAGGACTCTGAGATACGAGATGAATAAATAAACAACATACATATTCATGCTTTCAACTTTCAAACACCAGGAGACCGTATATTATCGTATCAGTCTGAAAACATGCACAGATTACGGTATCAGACCAATGGAAGGTGTCACTTTTTATTTTTCTGCTTAGCTTAATTTTGCAAAATAACAACATTCATGCTAATGGTAGGGTTTGTGAGACGTCCACTGTAGGAAGATAGTCGTTTTGGCCATCAAGTGTTGAGGTCCAAGACTCCCTTGATGGTCTCTGTCAGTCTCCCTAAGTAACATAATCTGTCTGACGTCGGGACGTTTTATTAGACTGAACAACTTTAGTATTTATTACTTCTTCTCTTTCCGATTCTCTTCGTAATCCGCTTGGTACTCCATTGGCCTCCTTTCTACGTACTACTTTTTTCGTTTTCGAGTATCCACTTCTCGCTCCGATTTGTTTTTGCCTTTCTGGGCTTTCTTTTTTTCCCCAAATTACTATAATCTTCATCCTAACTCCAACTCTGACCTTAACAATAAAGGGGATTCTAAACTTAACCCTAACCCTTACCTTAATATTCCACCTAATCTCCCTGGAATTTGGCACAAAGTCACATGTGTTGTAGGCGGTTCCTATTCACGCGTTCTGTCTGGGCAACCATACAAGTTACTTTTACCGTTTTAACTCATCCAACTATCACTTGTTCATTTATTAGTTGCATTGAATAAATCGAGAAATCAGACCCAAGGCAGAGCTAGACCAGTGAGTTCCGTTAGCGATCGGTGAACGTACATCAACAAGTGAAGACATCTCCCTATATAAACCAGCAATACAACGAGCTCGTGGCTCAATGGTCAAAAACGTCGCGAGTTCAAGCCTGGGATTGTGCACCACTTGGGGTTAGGTATGACTAGCTGGCGCCGGTTAATAAGCCAGAAGTGGCCATTCCGGTCGCTCTTGTCTTTGCCGGCAATACTATCTACCTAGACTACTAGTCGCCATGTCTGCTGTCAGGGCCCGAAAAATGAGAGCCAAGGTAAAGCTGGACGAGTGAGGTCTGTTAATGATCTGTGAACGTTCATCGACGAAGGACTGAGTACACAAGCTCAACTACTGGTGTCCAGTTTCACCGTATTTTCTTTGTATCCATGACAAAAGTCCTGAAAAACCAATGAGCCAAGCCATTTGGAAGGGACTCCGATCTTAGTTCTCGCCATCGATCGACGAAAAAGTGTATTACTATTGAAACAGCCATTCCTACACTAACTGTTTGAGGAACTGAAAACGGCAGTAGTATCTTTTTATTCACTTTCTTGAAGGATTTACTAAACACCCAAGATGACTTATCTACGGCTTTTGTGTTTCCCAAGTCCACTGGCCATTGAAATAATATAGCATTTAGGGTAAAACTTCTAATTCAATACATTTTATACACATCCAAAAGAGTGTGCCGCGAAATTAGCTAAAAGTAACAAATCAGCCCTAGCTTTCTTCTTAGAGCAGTGTATTGTCTTCTCAGGCAGTTATAAAAGTAACCTAGTGATTAATCAAGTCTTTCCTACTCGGATTCGTTCTACTCCTTCTGACGGAATAGTCAAGCAGTTGAGGGCTTCTTAAACCCAAAAGCGTTACACGTTTGTATTTCAGGATACCAATCTAAAACAGTCCAGTCTCACCAACATTGCAGTTATTATCAACATTAACATCTTATTTTTCGTGTTCGGCTCGTGTGTTCTTAGTACTGTCTTTTTATCGTATCTTTTTCACATTTTGCAGTATGCGTCCAGTTTACTATAATCAACTGCGGTGTTTAACTGGGTACGACGCAGTTTTCAGTCAGAGTCTTTGATGTGATTTCCGACAGTGCTCTACTGGCACATGTCCCCATTCAGTTACGCTGGAGGGCAATTGATTAAAGACTGCCAATACAAGCGAACATGTGAGTTCCAGGAAGTTATTGGGAGGATGCAGATGTGATCGCTGGGATAATAATTTTATTCGTCTGACGTTTCGAAATCCGTCCCGGACCCATCATCAGAGACAAAAGCAGAAACGGGTAATTCATACACAGGAGCTGGCGAGACTCGCAATGTTTCGACGTGGAAGAACAATGATCCGTGTGCTCTTTTAAGATTACTACGCGAGGCTGTGCAAAGGCCATCAGATAATTAACCAAGATAAGACCAAATGCTGGGAGTTTATGGGCGACGGCAGCACCAAACTGCTTCAGCAGAAAGTGACTGAACGAACCCACGAAAAGAAAGCGATAGGTGAATCAGCACTGGAGAACAAATTTCGCAGGCTTCATAATCCAACGTCATCTAGAAACTACATACTGGTATATAATTTGTCGTCGAAGGGACTTATGAAGGAGCAAATGCAGGTTCTAAAGTACGAAGCATCATTCAACACGGTTTAGGCCAAACCTGCTAGCATGATTGCAGCTGTGGGGTCGACCATTAATCAGAGGAAACGAAGGACCTTATCCGAGACCAGGTATCGTCCCTCCTTATGCCTCATCAACCGCGCGAAATACTCACCAAGGTCGAACATGATGCACTAAGGGTACTCAAGGCCGACCGAGACATCATGATCGGGCCAGCCAACAAGGGACGTTCCATCGTCGTATTAGACAGAACAGACTGCCTTCGAAAAGCCAAAACTTATTGGAGGATGGTCACTTTTATGTTCTGTATAAAACCACCCCCTCGAAAAGCTGAAACACGAAAGTTACTCGTCTTTGTTGGCATTAGAAAACTCAGGTGTAATAACGCCGTCTGACCGATGCATGGCGAGAGCGCAAGAAACGGCCTTGACCCGTTTCTATGGCCTCCCCCATGTGCATAAGGAGGCCGTTCCTCTCCGACCCATCGTACCACGGAATCGCACTCCACCGTACGCACTGGCAAAGTGACTGTATCAGTGTCTGAAGTTTCTGACCACTGTTTCGAAAATCACGGTCCGCTCATCAGCACGATTCTTGGAGAAACTTAGAGGGGTAAGTCTCCTGTCAAGTGACATCATACCATCTTTTGATGTCATGTCACTTTTTACTTCTATTCCCAGGACCTGGCAGTCGGGACTGTCGAACTACTCCTATAAAGCAAATATGATGGGGTGAAGAGTCGCCCCCGATATGCACAAAGCCTTCATCTCCTGGAGTTCTGTTTCAGCAAGTACGTCACTTTTGTCTAAACAATCTACGAGCAGTTGAAGGAAACAACAATGGGTTCACCGATTTCGGGACTTATAGCCGAGGCGGTCCTACAACAAGTAGAGTCGTTGGTCTTTCAAAACCACAGACCGAAATTCTGGGCGGGTATGCGGATGATACTTTCGTCGTCAGCGAATGGGATCAGGTATTGACGTTAAAAGAACGTCTCAGCAGCGTCTTCCTGGAAATATAATTTACGATGGAGGAGGAAGAAAACAACCAGCTGGCCTTCCTTGATGTCCTCGTCTGCCGCCAAGGTTGCCGTGGCCTAAAGACTCAAGTGTTCAGGACAGCGACAAACACGATGTAAGTACTGAACTTCAACAGCAACCACCCAAGTAGCCACAAACGCAGTTGCGTAAAGGTGCCTTACCGGGGTGTTGAGACGCACTGCAGTTAACCAGAAGACAACGTTGCCGAAATACAACATCTTCGACGGGTGTTCAGAGAAAATGGCTTCCCGCGCAACTTCGTCAACCGATGTATGCGCAAACGAGATGGGCAAAAACATCGTACCGATCCTAAATTTTGGCGAACGATCCCGTACACCATAAATGTCTCGGAAGCCGTCGGCTGCCTTCTCGCACCACTTGGAATTGGAGTCGCACATAGAGGAAACCGCAAGGCGTCATATAATGAAACCAAAAGACCCGCTACCACGGTAAGAAATATCTGGAGTTACCTATAGGATTTGGTGCAGTTGCAGACCAGGTAACTACGTCGCCAAAACTGGAAGACGTCTCAAGACGCGAATTGCCGAACACGCGGCGGCAATGCGGCGAAATTATGCCAATTCTCAACTTGTGGTTCATTCGACGAGGCCAGGCCATACATTCAAATTTTAAGGCCAAAATTCTCGCGGGAGGTGACAACCATGTGAGTCGCGAGTTACTTAAGTCATGATTCATGAGCCTCCAGTCTATAAACCTGCCCAATCCATATTCGGTGATACGGCTCAGTCCGGCCAAAGCAGTTCGCCACTTGAGAAATATACAGGCTAACGCGTCGATTAACGCCAGCGCCAGGGAGCCAGATAGTCGAGCAATCATCACGAGTGATGAAAATTCAGCAGGTTAGGACCCGCATGCCGGTCATAAAGCAATTATTGCGCAATCAGTCAATTATCCTCCATAGAGGAGCCATTAATTGTCATAAGTATGCAGTTGCGTAGTGGCTGTATCCCATAACAGCTGCATTTTCCTGTGTATAATTTACCCATTTCTGCTATTGTCTCTGACGATGGATCCGCGACGGATTTCAAAACGTCAGGCGAATAAAATTCTTGTCCCAGCGGCCACATCTGCTTCTTCTTGATTAAAGACTACTGGTGGGAGCGAATATACCAGTTCCATACAGCGGTTCAGAAGAAGATCAAAGACATAGACTTAAGACTTCATAAATGTCGAGAGTATTCTTTTGTCGTTTCCCTCTGTTGGATTTTCTCTCTTTTCTTTCGAGCAATACCCCTTCTTCTATACAGTTTGTCTTACTGTAGTAGCATGTGTGCAACTGAAGGTCCTAGCGCGCCTGTCACCTCAGGCATCTTGTGGTGGTGGCCAGAATTTTGCTGCTATTGTGCTTCTTTGTTTTACTGCGTAAGGTGGTTTCCCTGGTTATGGTTGCAAATAACTTTTACATATTGGTTGTCTAAGAACGAGGCATGCGTCTGCGCGACTAGAAACGCCGAAAACTCTCTGGATCCTTTTTGCGTTGTATCAGTCAGCGCCAAGACGGTAAGTACAAGGAGGCAAGTCTGTGTCTACACATGAAGCACTCCTTTGCAGATGTCTTTGCCGCTACCCCCCCCCTCTCCCTGACCTCCAAGGCTGGCTGGGCCGGGGTATAAAGACTTGACTAAAAGGACCACAGTCCACTACCACTAGTTGCCAAGGGGAGCGAAGAGGCGACTGACGTTTCGGATTCTCATTCGAATCCATCATCAGAGACGGAGTCAGCAAAGCGTATTGGATTGTCCAGGTGTTGCTGTATTTATAGTATGTAGTTGGTAAGCCCGTCAGAACTGACATCTGTATACTGCAATCACTGTTGGTGATGTGGAGAAGTTGCGGGGGAATCAAGTATACACAATCGTTCTGAGCCGCAGACGATTAGGTCTCCTCTCCGTTTCACAGGCTCTGGTGGATGAGCTACAGAAGGCAGGCTACACAGTATTTGTGAAGTGGAGTTCTCGGGCAATGGCTACTTACAACATATTAGTGGACCAAGGCAAACCTGTTGCCGCTTTCATTCATGCCATCTGTTGATTCATATATAGACAAACGCTT